AACAATGGCAAGTATACTGCACACAACATTCTCAACCATTAGACGTCAATGAGTCCAACACCCAATCATTTCTGTTGGAGTTCTGGCATTCAGAACATTCCTCAAACTGTAAAAATATTAGCTTAAAGGAAAGAAATTGGGACCCAGGCCAACGCATGAACAACAATGCAATTTAAGTAAATTTTACTTTAAAAGTTTGGATCATAAAATATTGGGGAAAGCCCCGAATTTAGACCTCTACCTGACACTTCACCACACACCACACTCCCATTTTCAGTTATTATGGAGAAGTCATATGGTGTGAAATGAAATAATTTTTGATCTAGCTATTCTCTGAAAGACGTGAAAATTACAGATCTGATCTCCCGTTGTGATTCTCCTTGAACAAAATGACTTCATGGTTTTACAGTAGTTGTCACTCTAGAGAAGGAAGCCATTTTACAACTTTTTCTTGCTAAAATTTCTTGGTGTTTTGAGTGATTTTTATGACAAAGATCTAGAGATGAAAAGTAAATATATGTTGGGGCTAGCTGCTCACCTCATGTAAATTCTAACCAACTACCACATGACGAAAAGAGTTAACACTTTTAGTGTCTACTTTCTGCTGTCTAGTGATCAGCTAGGATTGGCAGTGCAGAGCTGATAGCCCTAAGCATTAGAGATCTATGCCATATTTGCAGTGCCAGGTTGCTCAGTTATGACCACAGACCACCGTCCTTTTGATTTGTTTGGTAGGTGGTGTGAAATTGTTCTACCTCAAGTGATAGGAAAAATAATTAATGGTGCATCCTGTTTGTTGTTAAAAGAAGGAGCGCGCGCGCGCACACACACACACACACTGTCTTTCCACAAAATTATTAACATTCTGATGGGCATCAGAAGCCATCTTAGTTATAATATTCAGAATGATCCTGTTTGATATTTAACTTTTTATCTTGCTACCTTGTCTGGCTTTAATGGTGCTGCGATTTTGATTTCTTCAGTTTGATTTTAATCTGAAGTGGTTTAAACATTTTTAAATTTAGAACAGAATAGAACAGAATAGAACAGAATAGAACAGAATAGAACAGAATAGAACAGAATAGAACAGAATAGAACAGAATAGAACAGAATAGAACAGAACAGAACAAAATAGAATGGAATGACAGAAAGTATGAAAACAAATACTTTGAAAAAGTGGCTATGTAGAATGGNGGAGAAGGGTTCTGTTTCCCCCACTTTCTTTCTTTCCCCTGCCAAAATAATTCTCAGAGGCACCTGTGAAAACAATTCATGCCCTTGGCTCTTTATCAGTTTCTGTAAACAAGTTGCAAACCCTTCAGCTACAAAGTTAGTGAAATCAAATAATGAAAGAAAAGAGATACACTGTTTCAAAAAACCCAGCCTCTGACCTCTGAGTGGCAGTGTTAATTTTCATCTTCTAATATTTATCTCTGGCTTATAGGGAACAAATTCTTTAGATTTCTTTTAGTGTGATTTAATAACAAGTAGTAGGAAGAATTGTTAAAATAAAAAAGATTTTAATCCAGAAATCAAAAAATAAAGCAACAAAAAGCAGAAAAAAAATCAATCCGTTCACTTTAAGAGGAGAGATGAAAAATAGTTACAAAGATTTTATAACTTTCCACAGTGATCCAATTAGGATTATTTTCACCGCTCAGTTCTTTTGCTTAAGGATCTAATTTGGCTTTAAAGAAACATTTCTTTGGGCAATCTTTAGCAAAATAGAAAAAATACCTCAACAGATGGACTCACTTTCTCTTTTCACTTCCTTCCTTCCGGAGCATCCTGATTTCATCAGCCTGGGGGCTGCCTGTTTACAGCCGGCTTGAAGAACTTCCCTTGGGTCTATCAGGGATTTTGTGATGTCTCTGAGACCAGCAAGGCTTTGTTTTCCTGATCACCATCTCTATGGGATGGTTTAGGTCTCAATGGATTGTCCAGCGGCAAAAGTGTCAAGTAGTATCGGGAGTATCGAGACCGCACGTTGTGATATCACGACATGGCTCCTCCTTCTCCCGCTTAATATCTTTCTTGAGTCACAGCATTATCAACACACAGATAACTCCACATTTAATTTCTTCCAGAGTTCTTTGTGATCCACGCTCAATGGTAGAGGATATGGCAACCTAGCTGTGGTGCACACATTAAACCATGACTTTAAAGCAACTGCTAATTAGTTACCAAGCCAGCCTAAAGATTTTGCTTTCAATGATAAGACCCTGGCAATTTTGGATCAGGATATGGAACAAATCGCCTTTGCTGTTACACAGCTGGTGAATCATTACATTTTCCAACCTTCCCCGGGAAAATGTAGGATGAATGGTTTGATATTGTTTTTTTGCCCTGTCTTCCATCTATCTTTTTACTGAACATGGATTGTTTAAACATTGTCTTAATGGGTACAGGTTTAGTTTGTATTACTTTCACTGTTTATAGTGCTTTGAAGTGTGATTGCTTGGAAAGACTAGGTGATTATCTCAGTGGTGGGATTCAAAAAAATTTACTACCAGTTCTGTGGCCGTGGCTTGGTGGAGATGGCAGGGGAAGGATATTGTAAAATCTCCATTCCCATCTCACTCCAGGGGAAGGATACTGCAAAATCCCCATTCCCTCCTGATCAGCTGGGACTCACGAGGCAGAGAATAGATGGGAGCAGGGCCAGTCAGAAGTGGTATTTACCAGTTCTCTGAACTACTCAAAATTTCCGCTACCAGGAGAGGCGGAGCTGATGTAGTGATGACATGACGTGCGATCTTGGAGCTCCAAGATTGCCATCGATATCTCTACCGCTGGATGGTCCTTTTGCACGTAAACCATCCCATAGAGATGATGATAGAGAAGGGCACATCCTGCTGATCTCAGGGACATCACAAAGTCCCTGATTGATCAAGGAGAAGCTCTTTTTTCCGGCAACAGAGAAGCAGCCATTGAAGCTGCTGAAGTTGGGACAGCTCCAGAACAGAAGGAAAGCGGGAGTGAAAGTGTGTTGAATTGATGAGATAAATTTTATTATTAGAGAAGAGATCACCCCAAAAAACTACAAGTTAAATTAAAATTGAAGACAGAAGAGAGTAAGCAGCGAAATTTAAGCCAGAATTAAACTTAATGTGTTATCTTTTTTATTTTTTTATTTTTATGGATGGAATTTTTACAAGTGTTTCATACTTTTTAAATTGGATTGGTTAATTTTTCTTTTTCTATTTTTCATTCTTTTTTCATACTTATGGATTAAGAATTTCTTTTTTATAACACTTGATCAGATTGTTTTTTTTAAGAACTTTTCTCCTTAAGTTTGGAATACAAAGGGGGATGTAAAAGCAGGAGGAAAAAGAAGCAACACTGCCACTTAGATGCTGGAGATTTGGAAACATTGTTCTTCTCTTTTCTCTTTGAACATTCTCAAGGCTTTTGAGTTTGTTTATTGAAAGTGATAGTGGGAAGAGCACGGGTTGTTTATACAGGTGCTCTTTTGGAGTACTATCAGTAGCTGGACTGGAGTGAAGAGAAAGTCTTGACTTGAAAGATTATAATGAACTTGCTAGAGATTTAACAAAAACAGCCTTGGATGTTATAGTGGCAGTGTTTATAAGTTGGAAGAATAGTGCAACAAAGAAGCATTAATATTGCAAATGATTATTCTAGAAATTCAAAAAATACTGGTAACAACAGAGAACATTGAGAAGAGAATGGAGAATATAGAACACAGGAAAAATAGATGGAAAAATTGAGGATACTTATCAAACAATGGTGGAATTTGAGGACAGAGTTCTAAAAACTAAAGAAAAAGATGAACAAAGAGATAAGAAAATTGTTGATATTGACAGTAAACGGAGCATGGTTGGAAATGGCAAGATTGGAATATGGAAAGGGGAGATCGACGGATTGGAACTCTATCTCATACCTCAAAATATAGGAGAAGAAAAGGGAGAAAATTTGACAGAAGTAATGAGAGAAATTTTGGCAGAAGCATTGGTGATAACTAAAGGCAAGCTGATGGAAGNCCTAAACCTAACCCTTACCTTAAGTTGAATCGGCTTGCTTTCAAAGCGCTATTTAAAGCGCCCTTCTTTCTCCACGCTGGCTGTTGTCGCCCTGTTGATGACGTCAGCGACACAGTTTAATCGGGCACGGTTTAGTCGAGCGCGGTTTTGACGGGTCACGCCGCAGCCCTTTTTCCAAGGGCCTATTCCTACTCCTACACCATGGCAATTTGAGCTTGAGATCAGGGCAGGATCAGAAAGGACTGCTAGTGGGCAGGTGCTTTGGGGCCAGACACCTGAGGGAGCTGGCAAGAACCCCTCCTGTGAATGGATGGAATGTGGATGGAAACAGACCATCCCCATTCTCCAGAAAACTTCACCATTGCAAAATGAAGGATAAGGGTTTTTACAGTGTGGGTTACAACAAAGCTGAGCTAGAAATAGATTGGCTCCATATTCAGATTCAAATGATGGAATTTGTGCACAATCCTCATTCAGAAGTGCTCTTCTCCCCCCCCCCCACCCATAATAGAAGGGCACAACTATAAATAACGATGAATGTCTTTCTTTTTTAAATCTATATCCTTTCATCAGTGTGTAACCACTCATTTAGTTACTGGATTTTTTTAAAAAAAGAATCTGAACTAACGTAAATAGAGAAAATTAACATATTCCAAAGAGAAAATTAACATATTCAAAAGAGAAAATTAACATATACCAAAGAGAAAATTAACATACTCCAATATGAAACTCTATTAGGAGAAAAAGCACATTGAATTCATTGGTGACTGAAATGCATTTCAAAATGTTTTCCATTCATGCACATCTGCAGAGACGCTTCATCAAACAAGATATATAGACTGTGTAAATCAGAGAGAAACCTTCTCAGTGGTGGCCTCTTTATCGGAAAGGGAATCTGGAAGATGTTTTTGCATGGTATTTGCTGTTATGTCTTACAATCCACCACCACCACCCCTTCCCCATTGTATCCTTTCTCTTCTTTAGCACAATTCTCACCTGTGGAGCTGGTGCTTCACACCACACCCGAATCAGACTTCTGTTATGCAAGCTTTCATTGCCTGTGGCAATCCCTGTGATCACTGACTTATCCAGCTGAAGGGAACAAGAAAAATCCTTAAACTGTGGCAAGAGTGGAAGATACCTCTCTCATCCCCACCTCCCAAGGTTACTGTACAGGTAGTCCTCGACTTATGACCACAGTTGGGACCGTAATTTCCATTGCTAAGAAAGGTGGCCAAATGAGTCATGCCTGGTTTTATGACCTTTTTGCCACTGTCGTTAAGGGAATCCCTGCAATTGCTATGAGAATTATGCAATATGGAGTGAAACTGGCTTCCCCATTGACTGTGCTTGTTGGAAGCCAGCTGGGAAGGTTGCGAATGGCCATCATCTGACCCCAGGATACTGCAGCTATTGCTGGTGGCCAAGTGCTAGTTGCCAAGTGCCTGGATTTTGATCGTGTGACCATGGGGATGTTATGCAAGAAGCGGTCCCATGTCACTTTTTTTCAGTGCTGTTGTAACTTCATTAAAGAAACGGTTATAAGTTGAGGACCACTTGCATAGAAAACCAAGAAGGAGCTCCCAGGAGAAAGACCAAGAATTTAGATTCATTTTCCCCAAGCTGGTACCCTCCGGATCTTCGGTGTCATAGCCCTCCGCCTGGCATAGCACACATACCTGGACAATAAGGCCAGTGAAGGGTTCCGTGATTACTTTCAGGAGTTCTGGTGCATCCTGTCCACTGCGCAGGTTGAGGGTTGCCACGGAAAGTTTGGTGATGTGGTGCAGATAGCCGCTGGCCACTTCCAGAGGCAGCAGAATCAGCACTGACAACCAGTTGAAGCAGTCATGCACCGTGGCCCCTGCAAAGGCCCTGTTAGACAACAGAGAAGCTTCTGCTGTTGTGAAATATCGGAATTGCGGCATGGGGTATATGGATGGGTCCTACCTGAGCATCCATCCAAATCATCTGCATTGCAGAAGTGTCCCTGAGCCCCACTTCTACCTATTTGTTTTGCTTACCTGAATTACCAATTACTCCTGGTTTAACACATGCCTGTTCTTCATTATTCCTGACTTAGGTTTGTAGTCCCAGCACCCCACCCCCCAACCTCAGCCATCTACTGGCATCCTCCTATAGTTGACGAACACTTTCTCCTTCAGCCAACCTGCTCCTGTTCTTCATCCAGTTCTTGCAGACACACAACTGGCCTCCTTTCCAAGGCAGAAGCTGGCCACATTCTCAGTCTCCACCTGCAGTTACCGGACTCCCGCCTCCCACCCAATAATACTTGCCTCTTAAATTCACTTCTGTCGCCAGCTTGCATGAGAGCCACAATGGTGTTGGTGACTGAGGTCCCTATATTGGAGCCCATGATGATGGGGATGGCTGAACCTACCTCCAACACTAGAGAGCAAAGGGCAAAGAGCAGCTGGTGAAAACTCTGGCTGGAAGAGGCCACCATAGCATCATAAACAGAATGAGACTTCGGGGCCCACTTTTCCTCCTGGCCAGACTCTTTTTCTCCAGTTCTATGTATATCTCCATCAGACATGCTAATGTATTAATTCCCCACAATTGCAATTACATTATTATCAGGCCCAGTATGTCATTATCAATACAAGTATTACCAAAAGAGGAAAACCTGGGACTTCTTATGACTAGGTACAACCAGTGGTGGGATTCAGCCAGTTCGCACCTATTCGGGACAACCGGTTGTTAACTTTCTAAACTACTTCAGAGAATCGGTTATTGGAAAAAATCTCCACTTTACATCGCTAATCCTGTAAGGAAGGCAGGAAGGAAACATTCTGGTGTTATTTCTAGCCTAATCTTTATTGCCCTACTTACAGAAACTGCCTCTCCAGTTAACCCTTATTACATTGTAACAGCTAAGGCAAAGCGCCCATCGACCTGAGTGATGTTGAGTTGGCCACGCCCACATGGTCACATGACCACAGAGCCACGCCTACCCAGGTGGTCATTAGGGCAGAGACCTGGTTGTTAAATTATTTGTATCCCACAAATGGATACAACTCTAGGACTGTCTGATTGAGAGTACTAGGAGTTGTAGTTTAATGACATCTGGAGGCCAAATGTTCCTATTCCTGATACAAAAGAATAACTACTAACGCTATATAACTATGCCACTCTCAACTAGGAAATAGGAAAGGGTAAGGGGTCAGAAGAGCCACTTCTTTAGTATATCCATGTAGCCAGATTCTGATTTTAGGTCCATCAGCATTACTCACACCCTGAAGAAACCATGCTCACGATGATGGATGTGGAGGTGCTGGAACTCTGCACAAGGACAGTAACAAGGACTCCTACCACAAGCCCTGCCACTGGGTTGGAGAGGATAGCATTGTCCTTGAAAATATCTCCAGCTACTTTACCTGGGGGTGGAAAAGCAGAGGGTAGCAAAACAGATCTGAACATATGGCATCAAGTCTAGTCCAGCTTACTCGTAAAGCAAGTTTTAGTTAGAGCCTGTTTTATTACTGGCTGAACATATAGCTTGTGCATTATTACCCCCGTTAAAAGATTCCAGTTTAGAATGAGCTCTTTCTGGAAATGGGATGGGGAAATCTACAGAAAGTCTATGAACACAACTATTTAAAAGCTCTTTCTATTTGCTAAAATGAGGAAAACATGAAGTCGGTTTCTCTGTATAAGGATTGTGATACCAGAAGCAATTTCTCATTTGTGCTAGTTCTGTGGTGCTTAATTGAAATTCTAGTTTACAAAAAGAGATCCTGAAAATTTGACGAGATGAGAAAGAGCAGGCATATTAGTAAAACGTGGTAGAATTATTGCAATGTCCTGTAGCTGATATGTGATAGAGCTGAACAAATGAGGATGTCCTCAAAGCATTTGCTAATCAGAAGTGACATTTCGCTTCCGTGAACAAAATTTACCCTTTTGGAAAAGAAATTATGGACTTCTCATTAGGTACAGAAAAATATCTGGAGGAAAGGGAAGAAGTCACATGAATCTCTGGTAAAATTATTGAAATTCAACTTTACACAAAGCAGCTTTCAGCCCTAATAAACTTACTTACCCCACTGACGGGGAAATAATTAACCAAGGTGTCTTCTGCACCTTGATCTCCTTTCTTGTCCAAAAGACTAATTTTGCATGATAACATGCTTCCTACTCCCACTCCCAGGGCTTTTCAACTGTTCCTTCTACTCTCGGGTTGAGCTCTCTTCACCTTCTGACTCAGACCTGGGCAACAACAGCATTTCCCTGACTGACCAGCCTTGTTTCCACAATGGAGGGCAGTATGCTCAGGTTTCGAACTTTAGATGGACTTAAAGAGCAAAGGTTTTCCTATCAGCTTGCTATTTCCTAAATAAGTCTTGTCTATCTGCTTTTACCCAAGATTATTTCCTTGCAACAGTTATACTCCTCCTAATTTCCATGTTTCTCACTCCAGGCATTTCTTCCACTGTGACAAAGCTGTCCAGTGATGTTCCAATGTTGCCCTTAGCCTCTTTCTTCAGATCCCAACTCCAGCAGCTCCAGAGACAGGCAAGAGATGGAAGCCACACAGAAGGACATGTAGCACTTTCGTTCTGAGGGATCACTAGGGAGGAAGGGATGGAGGGTGGGTGGGTGGAGAGGAGGAGAAGAAAGGCAGACAAGTATCAGGGTGACCTCACCTCCTGCCAGCTGGAAAGCGGAGCTCAGCACATCAAGGGAGCACACAAACAGGTATAAAAAGGCAAACATCAAGGGGACCTTGAGAAAGGAAATAAGGATGGATCTGGTTCTTGCACATTTGCCCAGACCTGCAAAGGAAGAACAGGGATTCAACACAGTCATGCAATAGATTCAGTTCAATTTTTATCACCCACAGACCAGAGGTGGTTCGGACCGATTCTACCAAGTAGGTAGTAACTCGGTCACCCACATACCCGAACCGGTTCTATTGTTGGTGGCGCCATCTTGTGTTTTGGTTCTGCGCATGCGCAGAACAATCTCTATTGCTGAAATGTAATTCCCCCCCCCCTTTTCTAGCATTCTGCGCATGTGCAGAACTTTTTAGGTGTAAATGTGAGCGAAGCATTTTTTTTTGCTCGCAAAACCGGCAATAATGCCAGTAGCAACCCACCGCTCCCACAGACTACCCAACTGTAACCTGCTGGTGCTCTGTTTCGTTTTTTTCACACCACTAAGATTTCCATGTAGTTGCTTCACATTGGGAAAGCTTATGTAGGAGTGCCAGATGGGGCTAGGCCTTTTAAATCAGTTGCATTTAAGTTTCATCATAACAAATAAATAACAACAACAAAGAGAAATACCAGTGATTGTGCCTCAAAAACAGAAAAAAACCTACGTACATTCCAGGGATTAAAGTTAAAAGAAGAAAAAGAAACTAAGGGGGAAAAGATCTGTGTAGCATCAGTATAAAGTCAGTTACATTTTGTAATTAAATCTAGGCCACCTAGAAACATATTGCTCCATCGTCACATTTTTAGAACATGCTGACATTTCGAACGAACATGTATCTTGAATCCATTCCTGAACTTCACAAGAATAGATTTCTCTACAGTTACATAAGCTTAATGTCTTTCTTTTTAAAAAATTTTTATTTTATTTTAATTGAACAAAAAGACAAAAAAAGAATCATCCTTCATTACATCTTGTAGAAAGCGTGTCGATTGGTTATAGATAACTTTCGTGCATTTCTTCCACAGTCATTACTTATAGTTCATATTAGATTATACACTTTAAGTCAAAAATCTTTGTATATCTTATCAGTGTACCACAATTCTCATTTGACTACAATTTCCTTTCCTTTCCTTTCCTTTCC